CCTTCCAATTTACTACAGCAGTTATCAAGAATATAATTCTCAGCATTTATATTGGAGAAGTAAAGGACACATTTATTTTTCTCATCATTTACCAATTCTACTTTAAAAGTTTTAGTTGGTTTATGTTTTTAAACTGAATTGTGATAAATAAAATGTAACAAAAATGTTTGTTTTTATTCAAATTTTTTAATAAAACATTATTTGTATGTATTTCTTATTGAACTTATATCCTCAAAATAAGTGAATCAACGTCTACCCATTAGTGACTAACATTGCACATTGAAAGGTTTTTTGTGACATCCATCACTTTCCAAAGGAACAAAGTTTTCAAACGTGTGAATACACCTAGCCAAGATTTACACAGTAAAAATTGGCATTCACTGTTTACGAAACTTCAACAGAACATAAAACATTTTTACTAAATGGGCCCAATGGAACACCCTTTATATATTATAGAGTTTGAAAGAAAGTGAGAGAGTGCAATAAATGTTTGCTGCAGAATCACACTCAAATAATTGAAGCGCATATTGCAAGATATCTATAAATCACATTGAATACTTAAATCTTCATTTAATTTAGGATAATTACAAGCATAGAGAAAATACAATTTGAAAAACCAAACTTTTGACATTTCTTGGTTGCTAACTTTGAATAATCGCAACAGCCCTGGCCCCTGGAAACTTTTTCAAGACTTTCGACAGTCGCGCAAAAAATTCCTTGAACTTTAAGCATAGAGTAACCATAATACTCTTTGCTTTAAGGATTTGATTATAAAAAAAAACTCACTAATCTTGAACGGTTTAAGGGATATGAATTAAAAATGGACCCTTGCATCTTCAAATTTTTAGATAGAGTTTGACTATGCTAAAAACTGTAGATAGGTACCTACTAAAATTTGAAATGCATTGAATTCAAAATAAAATAGCTCATTCAGAAAAAACTAGAAAATGGTATGTTTCTATTTAAAAGACACAAGATGGCGCCACTTTCGGTATTTACGGAAACGGTGCCATCTTGAAATTCTTTTATTTCAATTCTGGTTGTAAACCAAATTTCAAGTTTCTATATTTCAACTGCAAGTTTTGAAACGTATGGTCATTGTAATATACATATAGTCACAGTTGTAGTTAATCTGTGATATAGGTAAATTTGCCGATTTTGTTATTATTTTTTTATGTTACTTGAGCAGATACAGAAAAATAAAAAACACTTTTTGAACTCTACATTAATACGTTTTGTTTTGGAAAACTTTATTTTTTTAATGACCCGTGAAAAAAGTACTGTGTATTGACATTGAATAAAAACACTATAAGAAGCATAACCCCGTGGAAATAAAGCGCGACAGAGATTGAACTGAGAATATAATGGGAACACTGTCGATAGTGTCGATTCTTGAACTGAGAAGAATGAAAATTTGCTTTCCCCCTATTTACCTCAAAGAGAGTTCGGGGTCCAAACCAATGCGGGTACAAGGGGATATGTCGCGCTTTCTTCCATAAGCGTTAGTTAGGCTTCTTATAGTGTTTTTATTCAATGGTATTGAGTAGCATTTTTTTATTACTGATACAATGATGCATGGCACACAAAAGTTTAAAACTGTTGGTTTCAACAGGATAGTCATAGTGCATCTGCGCACAACGCCCTAATTGTGCGAGAATACCAATCAGACAAACTTTCTGAAAAATATATGTCCGATATTCTCAAGCGATTAGAGCGTTGTGCGTAGGGCATGGTGTATTACACCATGGCGTAGAGGCACCATCCTGTGTATCTGTCAAATAACATCAGTAGAAAATAAAAACAAAATCGCAAATTTCGGTTTTACTGGCATACTTTTGGAATAATTGGAATTTTCTGGTTTTCTTGACAGTATGATCATATTATATTATAGTACCGGGTGATTCATTAGAAGTGATGATCGCTTGAATTTCGCGCGTAAGGTTTTAGTATTTTTGCATTATTAGATTGACGGTTTGAATTTCGTTAGTAATTTTTTTCTGTCATGACTGTCATTTAACAAACCAGTGTCGCCGTTAATTGTTGTGTGTCATCCATTTTGAACAATTTTTAGAGTTGATGCACTAAAATATATAAGAAACGTAACTGTGTTTAGTGTTAGTTTATAATTTGTGGTAAAACAGAAGCAGTATTTATTATAAATAAGTAAACGATTTACTGAAAGCATGATGATACACCACTGCAATTAAATAAATGATCATCAGTTAGTACCAACTTCAGAATTTTTTTGATTTGCGGGAAATTCAAATTGTCCTCACTTCTTTATAAATAATAATTGTTCAAAATAGCTGTCTGATGCAAGGCGTCCCCGCCTGGCAGTTAGAATAAGTGAGGCTGTTGAGAAAATTCTCTAAACAGCCGCACTAGAACATAAGGCGTATTGTATTTTATAAAAGCACCCGCCACCTCAGGGTGGACACCACTGATAAGGCGAAACGTGAATAATAAATATGAATAAAAAATACAACGGACAAAAGTCACGTCACGGCGAAGACTAATTATTGCATCATAAATAAAGGTACCTTTACACTATCATACTTCTCATGTGATTTGTAATATGATAAGTAACAAGCATTTAGATTTGTGTTTACACTATACTATTTTTGGTATTATGGCTGTCATAAGACAAATCATAAGGAAATAATATGGAAATAATACGTAAATCGTGGAATAGGGATGTTTCTATTTCTGCATGACAAATGACATGACTTATTTTAAATATCCAAGTAATCCCGCCCTTTTATGGGTACTTTTCGCATTTTGCTGTTGTACTTATCTGAAAAAGCTGAATACTTGAGTAAACCAGTAAACTTTTGATTATATCATTGATTATAGGTGTGTATAATCAATGATTATAGGTATATTAGTTACTAATGAAAGAATAAATTACATAAACAATAAATCGAGCAATAAATATTTACGAGTATATTGGTATTTGGTTGTCTGGTTGTAGTGGTGTTTTCAGACACACATTGTCAAATAGTGTCTTGATTGGTAATTAACCCTTCAAATGTTTGGGGTAATCTTTCAAATAAGGGTACACTCATCCTTAATGTCGACCAAGGGGACGATTCTTTTTGCTTTGTTAATGAAACGCATAACGGAGAAATTATTTTTAAAATAATTGTTAAACTTTTTTCGTTAAAAATGTACTATGATTTTTGAGGTACTTTAGAAGTTCACCTATTTGTGCTTTACAGGTGATTTTTTTGAGTTCTAAGTTAGCCTGAAGGTACTTTTTTGTTGAATACTTATTGTGATAATTAGCGATTTATTTTAATACAGTAGTTAACCGCACAAAATTGCTTATTTGCCAATTTATTTAAAATTTTGCGGGATCCCGCAAATTCCGGGATCTCGCGGGATTAACATCTTACATCTAACGATCCCGCAAATACCGGGATTGAGATTTTGCTGCGGGATTGCATTCCCTAGCTGTAACTTTTGAACTAGTAGCCCAATCTTGGAACTGTTTGACATTATGGATTCTACAGGCCACGTCTATAAGAAAATTTTTTTTCCAAAAATCGATGCACCAAAATTTCTCGGGAAAACACATTTTCTTATTAATTTTGGTGCGTAGAATCCAAAACAATTCATATACTTTGTCGATCAGACTTCTCAATTCAAAGGGCTGTAACTTTTGAACTAGTAGCCCAATCTTGGAACTGTTTGAAATTATGGATTCTACAGGCCACGTTCTATAAGAAAAATTTTTTTCCGGGTCGATCTGAGACAATTTTTTTTTCGGGGCAAAAAAAAGGCAGTGTATAACCTTCCTTTTTTCCAAAAATCGACTGCACCAAAATTTCTCGGGAAAACACTTTTTCTTATTAATTTTGGTGCGAGAATCCAAAACAATTCGTACTTTTTCGATCAGACTTCTCAATCAAAAGATATAGACTAGAAACCAATTTCGAAAGAAAATTCAAAGGGCTGTAACTTTTGAACTAGTAGCCCAATCTTGGAACTTGGAATATTTTAATTTAGAGAAGATATATATGGTTTCGTAACTTCTTGTATTAAAGTCATATGAAAAACCTGTCAAGTGTAAAGTAAAACATTAAAACTCTTACGAAAAATATGTTGGTAGGTACACATATATCAGATAAAAAATCATGTGAGATATATTATAGTGTAAAGGTACCTTAATGAATCACCCGGTATGATAATAACGTTTATTTGCGTAACTTTTCCCTATATTAACCACCGTCCTATCTTTTATGGTTTCTAAGACCCTAATAGACATCCTTATCTTGGACACAGTGTATGTTGAGAAACCTTGTATTTTTATCTTTTTCGAGACAAAATAAACCATATTGGGTCATGAAGTTGTGGGGTGCTGACAGCTATGTCATAAGTCATTATGGTGTTCGTCATTCTTCTAAAAAAATTTTATTAAACAAGTTCTCTAACAGTAATTAATCCATTCATGTTAGTTTCCCATATAATTAATTCGCCACCTAATCATTCGACACTCTGCGCATGAAAAATTAGGACCAAAATCATGCTTGGAGTCATAATTAATCCAAATCCAAAGTATAAAAATTAGTTTTGAATTACATCACGAAACCTAAGTGAATTTACCTGTCTGTGAAGTTAAAGAAAAGGGAAAAGTTCAATTAAAATCCTGTTTATTTAGGCGATTTTAAAGTAAATACACTTCATAAATATAATAAAATACAACTTTATACTAAAAATTTTATATTAAAACATGCAAGTATAAATTACGACTGTTAAATTTTAAATTAAAAATTAAGTTTACTTTAGCAGCATAGTTTCATTAAAGCTAATGATGTATAAAACGCTTTCACTTTTAAATTTGATTTTTGGCCCAACATTTAACTAAACATACTAAATCATCTATAAATAGAAAACACAATCCAACGAAATTTTCCTGACCGCAAACGACATCGAAACAGAAATTTTTCACATTTATAAAAAACAGTTTATCATTTCCTAACCCTCTGATTTTTTTCTCTTTTTTTTTTCGATGGATTGTGTTACAATGTCAAAACTGCACAAGGTAATGATCTCAGTCTTTTTGAAATTCAAATTCTTTCAGTCAGAGGTATTCGTTTTTAAAATGAGCTACATAGCTACATCTAAGTTTACACTAAATTGTATATTATGGATGGATAACCGCAAATTCAATTAATTACTTTACATGTACAATCACGTTAATATCAATTAATTCAGAGCCAAATATTACCCATCACATTAATTAATTACGATTGCCTATACATTTTGCAATCTTATTTTTTTCTACTTGTACTTTCACAATATGTACTTGGTTGTGTTTTTTGTGACCTCTTTTTTACAAACGATGGCAAGAAACAAGATATTAAGATTTGAAATGAACAGCTTTCAAACTCTGTAAACGAATTTATTTCGTAAATATTTAAACAACAATAGACGCCATAAATATTAATAATTTTAAAATTTATCTTAAGAGTTTTACATTTAACTCGTATGACGAGATATTTACAAATTATTATTTTACCAGGGCACATTGTATTTGTACTAAAATTTTCTTTTTTTTATCTACGTATGTACATTTAAGGTCTACAAACAGGAATGTAATATAAGTATGAGTACATCTATTATCTCACTTACGTTTTTTGAATAAATTATGTACAATAAAAGTGGAATTTCAACAGTTTAATACAAATACAATGTATTCTTAAAAAGAAAATTAAAAATGAGGCAAGTATTTTACATTAAAAATGGGACAGTATCAAAACTTGCACGTTATAAACAAAGGAAATATAGTATCACTTACGGTATTTAATATGTACACATAACTGTAAACTTATGATTAATATACAAGCCTAATGTGTATCGATGGCATCATGTATTTCAAAGACAAATTGGGTTTACTATACATTTAACAAAGGGTCTTTGCTAATATAGATATCATTAAAAACATTGTGGTGTTACCATGGATTGAGCATATAACATTTCACTTAGGAAATGTCTTTAAACAATTACCAACAATTTATAACAAAATAAAATTTTCTCATAAATTATGTGGAAGTTAATCTTTCAATATAAATAATAGTTTAGACAGCGTAGTCTACTAATTTGACTATACCAGGTTTAAAACACACAGTCTATAGGTCTGTCGCACAGTTATAATGTTCCATTGGTGAAATACTGAAAATCATCGTAAAGTTTTGTGGATAGTGAATGTATACTGCCTTCGACCATGTTGTCAACTTCATTGTGGAGTTGCTCTTCTGTCATGTTGAGATGGAATCGATTCTTTAGATTTTGTACTGTTGCTGTTCCGGATTTAAAGCAGGGCAATTGGGAACCTGAAGCAAGAATTAAATTGAATTATTGAAATCAATAAAAAACTAAATAGGTAACACTATAAAAGTACGAATATCTTATTCAGACTCCTAGTAACAATTTTAAACGTAAGTAACCTAAACGTCAAAATATAAAATTCATCTAACATTGGATGCAGCTTCCAATCTTGAGAATAATGCAGACAGAATTGATCAAAATGATCAAATTATGATGACAGTGCGCCATCAAGAAGCTTTCTACAACCTGCCAATGTAGAGATCTCAACCATACATGGAGAGCGATGAAACATTAGTAAGGTCAAAACACACGTAGCAAAATTGCTTAACGTAACAATCAACCTCACTGGGTTGACGATTTTGTTAATACGATTAACACAATTCCTTGAGTTTCTTGAATACGTTTTCCATACTACAGCACATGTGATTTGTTTTAATGTTAATCATTGCATGCAGATAATCTCATTAGGGAGTATATTCTCCATGCTTTAGGCAAATAAAAGAATTCACTTTTGCAACAAACATCCATGTACATATTTTTTGCTATTACTTTATAATGTGAGTGGAGGATGACCTCTAACGTAACCCACTATACAAACGCTCACACCTTATGTCAGATTTGAACTTGTGACTGTTAAGTGATATCTTTTTGAATGTTCCTTTATTGAAACACACAAAATTTTCTTCTTTTATCTTTCATAAAGTGTATTTAAACTTATTATTTCATTTATTATATTTCTCTAAGTTCTAAAATTAAAAGAAAAGGAGTAATGAACATACGTGATATAATTTGATACAAATCAGTTGGGTAACTTTTTTATAAAAACCCTCTGAAGTTAGTAGACTATGCTTCATATTCATTTCTTTATCTGAGGAAGGTTGTTTTATGTACCCGCTTCCTTGCCAAGCACTTAGTAATACATTACATTAAACATATATTAATATGTGAGCCAGCCACGTTGATCTGATAACTATATCAATTGTTTATTGCTAGGTTTATTGTGCCCAGGTTTTTCACTGCTCAATACACAACAGGTAGGCCATTCGCCTTATGCCGTACAATCAGACTTGGTAAGCTTAGGGATACTCCGGTGAATTAATGGCCAAATAACCTGATCAAGATTCTTGACCAATAACAGTCTGTTAGGGTTATTTAGCACATGTTTGAGGTACTGGGGAATGATGTCTGATGCTTTGATGTTATCAAGGAGAATCCATTAGTAAGACTGTGTTCAAAAAGTGTATGATGGGAAGGAGGCAAAAACAATGAGAATTGGAATTCATTAAAATTTAAATATTTTTTACCTTACAAATCTAGACATCCGAAATGTGGTTAGTGAGCACACTTTAAATATGGGGAATTTCCGTTTTACGCACACACTACTCAATGGAATGCACCGTAAGCGCAACTCGAAAATAAAAGTGTCTGGACGTAAATTAACTAACTTCATTTCCCTGAATCACCCCGTACATATTTTATTTAGGTAACTGAAATAGTTTTTTTGTACTGAATTTCATAACCACGAAGAACTATATAAAACGCCCTGTATTAACACCGAATCATTTTTTTACTATATATTTACTTTATTGGTGGATATTTTATTACAAATATCAGTTATACAATGTGTTTAAAGTTAAGTCGGCACTATTGCTAACTTTTTTTCTTATTGCAGTTACGAGGTTGGTTAAATTAGCGAATATGAAGCATTTTTTCTCACAATTGCAATAATCAAATCAGAAAAACAATTGTACACTGTGTTATTAAGATAAGTCAATTAAATAACCTTTTTTCATGGAACGCTTGGTGTATCTTTACATATTTCGAAAGAAAATAAATAATAAACAAAAAATGTTCCCTATCGACCAGTAAATTGAAATGAGAGGAACTTGAATAAATTAGAGTTTTTAAATTTGTTACAGAATTTTTTGTATAAAACGCAGACGGCCCATACTTTCAGCAACAGAAGAAACAAGCGGAAATACGTTGGAAAGCTCAAAATTAAAAAAATGATCGCTGCAATTCATTTGTTTTCAAAGTTAGTTTAGTCTTTATAAGTTAGAAATAATAAAATAGGAAAATTTTATTTTTTTGTACAGCATAATTTTCTTACGACTTGTTCACCTTTAGTATTATAATCAGTATTATTGGCCATCTGCATCTTATATAATCTTTGTAACAAACTTAAAAACTTTGATTGATTGTAGTTTTTTTAATTTCAATTTACTGGTGGTTAAGTGTTAAATCATTTTTTATTCACAACTTCATTTTCTTTCCAAATAAGGCGTCTATTAAAAAAAGGTTACTTTAGTGAATATCTCGATAATCCAATACGCAATTATTTTTTGACTTGACTATTGCAATGTGAAAAAATGCTTTATATTTTCTAATTTAACTTATTTTCTAAATGCAATAATAATACACTTGGCAGTAGTGCTGACCTAACTTTGTATAGTTAATAAGACAAGCGTTAGTTTTTCTATCTGTCGTAGTTCTCCTTTCAAATTTTCCTCAAGCTTCCATAAAATTCTTCTCAAGTTTTCTCAAATTCGGTTTTCAAGCTTTTTCTCAATTTCTTCTTAAATTCATATAACATTTTTCAGAAGCATTCGCAAGTTAATATTTTCCATTTAAGTTCATCTTAGTTCCCACCAAGGAACACCTCAAGCTTGTATTCAGTTTCTTCTTCAGAGACTCATAATTTTCTCTGAAGTTCTCTTTTGTTTGTTTTGTTTAACGTCCTCTAGTTTTTCTCAAGGTAGGTAATTATTTTCATGATCACCTGTCAAAATCCATGTTCAAGTTCTGTACCTCTGTTTTTTCTCAAGCCCCGAGTCAAGCCCTATAAAATTCTTTTCTAATTTTTCAAGTTCGTAATTCCCAACACATTTCTCTCAAGTTCCTCTAGATTGAGTCTAGAGTTTTGATTAAGATAGAAGGGACAGAGTGTACAGAAGAGATAAACAAATATTGAGAAATGATGAAGAAGGAAAGAAGAGGGAAGGTAAAATAGGCGAGAGAATAGAAAAAAGTGCAAAAGAAAATTAAAAAAAGATGGAGCAACAGAAAGAATAGGTACGAAGAGCAAAACAGGGAAATAAAGACAGAGAAGTCTTTTTGTAAAGTAACAAAAAAAAGGAGTCAATGTATCGATGGTGGGAGATTGTTAATAGTGCATGGCAAACAGCCATTATAAGAGCCACTTTGTGTAGGTCAGTTTTTAAATGATTAGTTTCATGTTGTTTATCGCATAAGGCGAAGGAATGAATCTTTCCATCGGTAATATAATTTCGTAACACTCCCTGAAGAAATATTTTAAAGAAGCTGCTAGTTTGTGTATTTTTCCAAGTGGACTACCCACGTATTAGAGCCACAATGGCCGACTCCCGTCGCATAATTTTACTACAGATCCTCGACTCCTTTTTTTTTACCTCGTTGGAAGGTAAGAAACAGGCGATAAAATTAAAATAGAACAAATGAGAGGGAAGTATATTTAAAATGTAAAGAACACTTTATTAAGACTATAAGGAAAGCGGGAGATGGAGAAAGGAAAAGAGGAGATTGAAGGAGATGAGAGAAGAGCTCGAGCCGCAATTAACAAGACTAAAGAGAAGGAAAACGGCAGGGAAAGACGAAATAAGAAATGAGGTTTTTTGATTTTCGGGACAGATAGGGTCAGGGAAAGAATGAGGAATCTAGTAAATATGATACGGAAAGGAGGGAGTCTACCTGAAGAACGGAAGGAAGGCGTAATAGTGCCGATTTTCAAAGGAGCTGATAAAGATCAAAATCCACCCACCAAAGGGCGCACCCCTGATTTCGACGAAATTTGGTATCTGGAGGTTTTTGAACATGAAAATCAAGAATTTGAAATTCGACTGGAATGATGAGACAGATATGGGGAATAGGAGAGAGGGGTTTCAAGAATAACTTTAGAACAAGAAAATACCTGTTCGATTCAATGGTCAGAGGGGTGCTTACGTACGAAATGGAGATATGGGGGGTGGAAGGAATAGAATGAACTAGAAGGAATACAAAGAAGATACTATAAATGAGTATTAGCATTGTGCGAGTATATATGGGGGGTGGAAGGAATAGAATGAACTAGAAGGAATACAAAGAAGATACTATAAATGAGTATTAGCATTGTGCGAGTATATTAACGTGTATATACAATGGTATTAGTAAAGGACATTGAATTGAATATTAGATGATGAAACAAAAATGGAGAAGATAAGGATAGTGTCAGGACGCAGGGCGGTAAGGTTCCAGGAGTGTGAATTGGTAAAGAAAGTGCTTGAAAAAGAAAAAATTTTTGTGAAAGAAATAGATACGGACGGGCTAAGGTTAAAAGTCGAGAGGAAGACGAGAAAGATGGAAAATGAGCTGGCAAAAAAGGAGCGGGATGCACAGAGCAGACAGGGAAGGTTGAGACCAGAAGCAGAAATGTAGAATGTGTGGAGAGGAAGGAGACAATACATGCTATGGAATTGCAAGGTGGAAAAGACACGGAGAAGCAGGAGTGATGTGCTGAAATAGGGGTGAAGAGTTGTGAAGTGGATGAGAGGGATACTAAATCAAAGCAGAGGAAAACACTCACATTAGGTGTGAGTTACGTTTTGCCGAAAGAGATTCTCTTCTTCCAACACGCAGGCGAAGCCGAATTGTCATTAATTCTAAGGGTTCTAATTGCACAAATTATTTAATAGTGTCTTTAGTAATTGACCTTTTTCCTTGTGTTCAGTAATTGCGGTAAACTGAAGCACTTATCTCCATTTTTCTTGGAGGATTTATAAGACTATAGACACGTAAGTCATCCGCCATTTGGTCATTCCTTCCTTATCTTCGTTTCCTTTTAAAAATCCAATTTCTGATGGTTGAGCAGTCGTATAATAAATAATTTATTTCTTCATCTTTATTCGTATTATTTATGTTTTACGCCTTCTCGTTTAATTGGAGGTAGGTGGGTGTTTTATGTGTAATTGTAGAGGGTCCTCTGGGTACTTACAGCATTTCCTGAAATATGAACTATATATTTCACGGCCTACTTGTATTTAATCCACATTTTCAAGACTGAATAACGGTGTTCCCTAGAAGTGCAAACCGCATCACGCACTCTCTTTTGTTTGTAAACAATATCCCTGAAAAGCATCTAAAACCAGCAATTTGGAACACCCTGTACAGAATGCATAATTTCATTTCCATGGATAAGTTCCAAAATATGTAAGTACGTCGTAATTTAATGTGAAGTGATCCCTTTTTGCGCAGTCTATGGTTTTAGCTGTTTACATTCGGATGCTATTGCGCATGTGCGGTGTCTATGGAATATACAGTGTGTCCCAAATCGGGTGGAATTGCATGGGTAACTTTGTTATTATTAAAGATAGAGAATTGGTTAAATGGGCAATGTTTTGCAATTTTGGATGCTTATTTAAAATTTCCTTATGGAAATTCAAAATGTCGCATAGGTTCGACGTAAATTCAAAAAAAAGAGATATAAAAAAAAGTTTTATATAAAAGTGACTGTCTTTGATACGCTTAACTTAGAATTGATGTCAAAAAAAATTCAAGATGGCCACTTTTGAGGAACATTTACCAACTTCCTAAAGTTAAATGGGCGCTATATTGGATTTTTAGATTACTTGATAGATTTTTAAATTCTCTTTTCAACGAGCTCTCATAACATAAGATTGAAAATAAGATACCAGTTATATTAACTGTTTTTGTATTTTAATCAAGTAGTCTGTGACGAATAAAACAAAACAAAATCTATTCGAGGCAACAAAACAATGAAAATAATTACACCAGATCACTTCAAGACAGTTTAGTTTAGGCAACGTGTTTCATCATTATACTCGAACTGGTAAAACTGTTAGTTTCGATATTCTCGCGGATAAACCATCTACAAAATGTGACCTGGGACAATGCATCAATGGTAATACATTGTGTAAAATAAAGCGTGTCTTGAAATATCTTTAACTGGATAATGGCATGACTTTTTTCGAGGGGATAGTTTGTAGTTATGTAAGTAGGTATGTAAGTATGGATAATGGCCCGTATGAATAAAAGTAAGCAAATGCTTATACTTGCAAAATTCAAAGTAAATACTCGTAACTGCCCCTTCATACTGGTCTGTTTAGCATGGTTTAGCAGCACTGCACTGCGTCCTGTCCTTCTGCTTAGAAGCGCTGCTAAGTCGCCCAGTGCGAAGGAGCACTTACGAGTATATACTTTGAATTTTGTAAGTATAAGCATTTGCTTACTTTTATTCATACGGGCCAATAAGTCAATAAGTGATGTTATAAAAATCAAATTTTTCTAGACCTAATGCTTATATAAAATTTTGGAGGGAGTTGTAATGCCCAAACCCCCCCTCTCATGAGTGCGTCCCTGATTTTTTAAACATCTGATGTAATTATTTTCATTGTTTTGTTGCTTCGAATAGATTTTGTTTTGTTTTTTTTTAATTCATCACAGCCTACTTGATTAAAATACAAAAACCGTTGATATAACTGGTATCTTATTTTCAATCCTATGTTATGATGGCTCGTTGAAAAGAGAATTAAAAAATCTATCAAGTAATCTAAAAATCCCATATGGCGCCTATTTAACTTTAGGAAGTTGTTAAATGTTCCTCAAAAGTAGCCATCTTGAATTTTTTTTTGACATCAATTTTAAATTAAACGTATCAAAGACAGTAACTTTTATATAAAACTTTTTTTTATATCTCTTTTTTTTTAATTTACGTCGAACCTATGCGACATTTTGAATATAAGCATCTAAAACTGCAAAACATTGCCCATTTAACCAATTCTCTATCCTTAATAATAACAAAGTTACCCATGCAATCCCACCCGATCTGGGACACACTGTATATGATCTAAGCGAAGCAATTATCAATCATATTTCGTTTTTTTTTTGGGAACCTTTTGTTACAGATAAGTATAGTGAAATATATACTAATTGATCATTTCGAATGAGGAGGTGGTTAATGGGGGAATCAATACTTTTGAATATTTGGGGAGTATTTTTGTATTTGTGGGTATACGCTATCCAATTTTGAAGGCAGTATTATTTTGATATAGACTGAATAAACCAGTATTTCTTTTGTTAATTTGATTGCACTGTTATTATTTCCCTCATATCTTCTTAGTTTCATATGGAGAGAGTTAGGATAGAAATTGAGTGACATTCAACCCTATTGGTAAGGGTTTCTAACCCTGAAATAGTCGGCCATTTATGTGGCGGGTGTGAGATAAAAGTAGCGCTAACTCCGTGTATTGTTATACGTCAAAATTTTATTAGTGCCTTCCTCTAGTTCCTCAATTTTCCCTTAAATGCTTCTCAAGCTTCTCTTCAGGTTTCACATTCCCCTCAAGCTTATCTTAAATTCCTCATAAACCATTTTCAATGTCCTTGTACGAGGGTCGTTTTTTTTCAACCTCCGATCTCATGCGGTGACGGCTAGACAAGTCGCAGGCCCGCGGTGAGCGCAGTAGTCGATCGCGCATCTTCCCCACCACAACATATGTCACTGCCGAGTTCAAGTAGCCAGCTTGTGCTGAGCTGCAGTCGCATAAACATTGCCGCGTCTATTGATTCGCCCGCCAACTTGAGAAGTGTTATTCGTTTCTTGCAAGCAGAAGGAAATAGTGCAGCAGAAATCCATCGGAGAATATGCCGCGTTTACGCAGAAAACATTATGAGTGATGGTGTTGTACGGGAATGATGCCCTAAGTTTAAAGATGGCCGAACTGACGTGCATGATGAAGGAGGTCAAGGACGCAAGTCTGTCGTTACAGACGACCTTGTTGAATGAGTTGACAAGGTGGTTAAAGAAAACCGTAGATTCACAATAAGTCCTTTGTCTGTGGAATTTCCAGAAGTGTCAAGATCTTCTCTGCACTCTATTGTTACCGAACATTTAGGCTACAAAAAGACTCATTTCAATTCACTGGCGGTAACATTTTATGAAGAGGGTATTGGGAAGCTGGTCCACAGGTATACCAATGCCTCAATCTTCATGGTGATTATGCTGAGCAATAAGCATAAGTTTACGTACATTTTGGTAATAAAACAATTTTGTTCTCTTTACTTGTCTTTTATTTATAGCCCACCGGAGGTTGAAAAAAAAACGGCCCTCGTACTTGTACTCAATACACTTGTCGAATTTTCATTTGAAGTTACTGTTAAATTTTCATCCAATCCTTAGGTGAATTTTTCTGGATCTATTTTCCCAGAAGGTCATGTATTATACGTATATGTATAATAATGTTCGATCAGTTATAAGTAATAATAAAGCTAAATGAATATTACAATCAATGCATAAAGGATTTCAATGAGAAAAATATTTTAAATTGCGTACCTGATCGCATAATTTCAACCAAGGGAATGATCATATCCATATGTTTTCTGGCTGCAACTAAACCTTGAAGAATTAATATTTTGAAATACTTGAACATATCCGAATCATTTCCTCCCATAACTTCGACGAATTCGGGCGTCAACTTAAATGGCGATATTTCAAAACCAAGATTTCGAGGTGAAGTCGAAAGGATGAAACCAAAATCTATATGAATAAGATGACCGTCACTGTCTAGTAGAATGTTTCCATTATGCCTAAAAGAGACGCTTTGAGTGCAATATCGTGAACGAGAATTTTAATTTTACTAACCTATCTTTAACTTGTATAAGATAACAAATTAAACAGTACGCCGCACAACTGTGCACAAAATTTCTTTGGGCAGTGAGGAAGGCCTCTGAAGTATGTGGTCCGTATTCTTTTATGAAATATTCTAATAGAGATAACTGACAATGTTTTTTGATTTGATGAAGTGATACAGTGTTTAATATTGGTTCGATTAGACCGCTGTCGTTCGAAAGACACAAAATTCTAAAAAAAAATTCGTTACATCATTATAAATTGCAAGTGAGCGGAGTAACTCACTTATATGGTCGAATCCACAATGGAACTAGTTCAATTTCCCAAATTTTTTGAAACATTTGCAAGAGTTGCGAAGCTAAGAGTTCTTGCCTTAAATCATCTCCACATTTAACGATAACGGACAGCAACTTCCAAGATGATTTTTGACCATACGGTGAAGATTCACGGACTCTCCTTTCCTTTTCCTGCAATATGAAGTGTGAAGTGATTTTAAAAGTAAAGTAAAGTGATGTACCATCCATGGTTCTTTCAAAGCAGCCGCAGATGGATCTTCTGGATCATGCGTAAATGTCTTCTTTTTGCCTTCACGAAACGAATTTGATAATCTCCTACGAATTTCACTGGCAAGAATGCACAAAGGTGGTTCACGCGAATCGCTAGAGTCTTGACTTAGTTGTGAAATGGTATCTCTATCCTTTTGTTTCTTTAGTTGGCAATACTGAAAACGCAAAATTCTTCAGTTTATAACGGGAGATCAAAAATGAGCTGCTTTCGAGTCACCTTTGGAATTTCAAGTTAAATACGATTTCCCATGGAAACAAAAATTCCAAAGGCAACTTGACAGCAACTCATTTTTAATCGCATAGTATTAAGTACAGTAAATACGAAGAGTGATTTATTATAAAAAAATTATAATATATAATATTATAAAAATATCTTGGTTGCAATTGATACGAAAAGTAAAATATAGGTATTTATAATGACCCAAATAATCTATAAAAGCTTTAGAAAAGGCCACAAATAACTTTCATAATAATTATGTAAAAGGTTTTTCAACATCTTGATGAATATTGACATATTTCAGTTTACCTGCTGGGAAATTTCGTCATCTTCTTGGCTCCAATCTGGATCGTTATCATCACAAATACCGCTGCACATACTAAATGCGGATATTGAAATTGTGTCACCTCCCAAATTTTCTTCTGATTTAGTGTGTCTTAATGAGCTCATAACTTTTTGCGGAATTGGTGACCTATATAGGTCTTCGACTTCTATTATTTCTACGTACATAATGTAAGGTGCCTATAAACGAGAGATTATTATTAAAATGATTTGTGCATCGTTACAGTAGTACCTTATCCTTCGAATTTAAGACAGCTGCTGCTTGGGGTGGAATGCGAACTATATGATGAGGTTTTGCACTCTCGAGAGGTAACCACACTCGTGCGGGGAGATTTAAATTAAGAGTTGTCAATTCGGCAACCAGTCTTGTAGTTTTGGCTTCCTTAGTTGGAATAGAACTCAAAAGCTTACCAATATTGATTAGCGCTTTCATGAATTCTAATTGTGGACTCAGTCGTGGAGCCTGCAATGAAAACTGCAAATCTGCACCAAAAAGGGCGAGGCGAACTCACCATGCAGGTACATTCAGTCTTCTGTCCCCTGAGATCGTTAACAACGCCCAGGCAACTTTCAAAGCACATACATCCATTGTTAAACGCTTTCCCTGAGTATAAATCACCTAAGCTGAGTTTGGTAGACGACGTATTGTTAACCCGTGAACCAGATATAAGTGCGGATGCGTCACTCTGTGATCGCTGATGTGTTTTCTTAATAGGTGTAGTGTTAGGAAAGTTCAATTTATCACTATTGAAAGAAGTGGTCATTTTTTGGTCTTTGGGCCGTAATTCATCCGACAGAATTAAGTTCCTTAATTTAATTTCGTGAGGTTTCTTTTTTGATGGCACCGATGCATCTGAACTATAGGCATCCAATAACCAGGCACATTTCAGTGAAAAATCTACTGATTTCCTACATCTGCAAAAAAAAAAAGAAATATGTTATCAACTACACATTAAACCGACCAGATAAAAGCGCTATTAGTTCAATAACCGTAACATGGTATGCTAAAGATAGTGGATTTCCGATAAAATTCTGTAACTGCTCTTAAATTGGTGTAAAATGGTGTTTGTAACAACTACACACATAATTACTGTTTAACCTTGTACAGAGCAAGTGTACTTAAAACATCCTGCACTAACCATATTGTGACACATTTCAGTAATCTCAACTTTATGATAATGTAGTTTAATGGGCATCAAGTTTTATAATCTCTGAGCAAATTATTCCACATAAACTCCTACAAAAATCCCAGCTTGGTTATTATACTATAGTGGGTCTCATTTTCTGTTATTCGGTCATGAATATCAACGATACAAGAAGATCTTTAGTAGTTTCAAAATCAATTGAAGGTCGCCAATTTAGATAAGTAAATTTACTTAAATAACAATATCGAATGAATATTTGAAGAGCTGTTCAAATAAACCGCGTTTTACAATCTTGACTACACTTGGCATGTTCTACTATTAATATGCGCTCATTTAGTATTATTATCTAAGAAGTGTTAAATGACCAGATGAAGTCATTGACATTGTGGGAGTAACACAACTAACTGAACAATATTGTTCGTTCCAAAACGTAAATGTTCATTCTATGAAATATTTACTTCATTCATCACTCTCGGCGAGTGCCAAGTTAATGGAAATATAATTTAGTTCCATAATAAAATTGGTTAATACGTGATAATAAGAATAACGTTGACATTATCAATAATTTATATAAAAGTAACAGCAACAAAAGCTACGTACGGATTTCAGGTATACACTGTTTTTGGTTGTAAAAAATCACATTTAACATATTAAATCATTCCGAACAATGAAAAAATATTCCCGCGGAATGTTGCTGTAACGATGAGTATGACTATCCTCTAGAATTCTAGATTCTAGAAGTCTACACTCTAGAGCAGGGTTCGCCTGAATGGACCCAACCCGAAAAAAACCACTGAGTTTTTTCGGGTTGGACCCACTCGAAAAAACCCAAGTGGGTTTCTTCATTTTGAAATAATTAACAAGTTTTTTTACTTTGGCTGGTTTGAAATAAATTTATATGGCAAAAGTATATTTCAAATTATAAACGAATCACTTTTAATTATTTAAAATACAAAAATAAAACATAGATACTTCCATTTGAATTCGTTTAGTATTAGTCGAGGTATTAGTTAACAATTCAAAACAGTTCAAAACTTGTATTCTTATTCTTACCCATAGTAAAATGTAAAAGTGAACCACCACAACACAACCACAATATTGCGGCGCCTTTTTTTCCATATTGTCGAATTGTTTCATTCAGATTGAAAAAGCACTATTACCCACTTTTACCCGAAAAAGCCCGAAAAACCCACTTGAGCCCAATGAGTTGGGTTTTTTTTAAAAAACCGGGTTTTTTCAAACCCTGCTCTACTGTGATTGGTGTAAGAAGACAAAAGATAACGAAAGCAGTTTCAGAAATTATGGCTTTTTTGCGTTACACAAAGACAAATTATATGCTAGTTACTAGAAATGGATCTTATGTATGTAAGCAAAAGGCGAATTTGTTTCTTCGATTTTAATAGCCCTTATGGGCATTTCATGCCTTAACGAGAATACAAACATGAAATAATTTTTAATTTCTGATCATATGACAACAATACGAAGACTGTAAGTGGTGTAGTTCCGGAGCCTTTGTGACTCAGACAGACAGACAGACATATAAGGAGCGTAAAAGTGCAGTTTTTATTTTTTGAAAGTGAACGTGCACTAAAAACAACGGTATTTTGTGCAGTATGCTTCTTGCATCGTAAGAATTCTCCCAAGTTGAAGAACCGTGAACATTAACGACCGATGGCTTGTTTTACGATATCCAGGAACAACATACTAGTTACGACTTTCAAAATCTGCAATTACTATTCGCGAAAATTTGCTCTATTGTAAAATGATGGACACAAATGAACCCAAAAACCGCTTTACAATACAGTAGATTTTCCCGAATATGCTGTTTTGTAAATTTCAAAATTTTCAAAATTTGGCACGATATTTCGAATTTGCAGTTAAAGTGACGCTTGATTTTGAAACGGATAAAAAAACGAAAATTTCAAAAAACGAAAACGCGTGAAACTTCTTTATTTTGAAGTTTGTTTTTCTAAAAAAAAAAAAAAATAGTTTGCGTTTTGGTTGCTCGATTTTTTGTGTTACCGAATGCTTGAAAGTGTAAGATCTTTTTCAACTCAAAATATTTTAGAATAGGTTGATGAAAAAGTTAGCCCCACTTCATACAAGTACATTTGGACGTCAAGAACGATTTATATATCGAGAGATAGCGCTTAAATTTCGGTCATTAGGTAATTATGGGCGAATTCCTCAATACAGCAAACAGATTAAAAACTTTATCAAAAACATCAAAAAGGTGATGTGTGATATAGTAATAATGAGTGTAAAATACAGCGAGGTTTTTTTATTTTATCCGTTTTAGAGAAAACATTTATTGGCGTGGAGTGCCAAATGTTCACTATTTTGACTGATGTGCTAATAAATACTTAGCCTAGTCTTATATTATATGAAATTAAAATCGGAAGAATCAAGAATCGTCCAAAAATAAATCTGTCGTCAATCAAAGGTTGGCTTGTTCATGGTTGAACAGCTCTTTTATGCTCTATTTAATGACGCATAAATAAGAAATAAAAAAGTTGGCAATAGTTGCCAAAAAACTAGAATGCATAGAAAAAATTTATTAACGTCATTCAATTGACCGTACAAAACGACCAAATTTAATTTAATTTGTTTGAAAATGACACCCGATTTCCCAATTTTTGGAAAAACACAATTTTTAGTTTTTGCTCGATATTTTGAAAATCCGTACAGATATTTTCAATTTCGATACAGCATATGAATGAGCTCGAAAATTTCCTCATTTAATCAAAATTGTATCTCTTACCGTTTTTGAAATCCCCGTGTTTTTAGCACATTTTTTAAGAATTAAAAAAAAGTGCTATTGTTTGCGTTTTGTCCGTCCGTCCGGGCCCACTTCTGCCGTTTGGAACTACTTCTAGGGGAATTGTGATTGTGTTTAAGAAAGTAAAAAGTGCATAACTTCTACATACGACAACCAATTGGTCTCAGATTTTGCATACGCATGCCTTTAGTTTTGAAAATGATAATAATAACACACGTTCTACCCTTCATGGTATTCGAATGGAAGCTCTCATCGAAATAAATTGATTTGTACAAACTATAACTTTCCCGGAAGCCTCTTTTTCGAGATCAGTGGGCGACGGGGCCTATAGTACCCGTTTTCCGCTTTGACGTTTACCAGCTCTAGCGAACACTCTATAGATGAACACACGGTATCCAGAAGCGATTGAAATTAGGCGCTTCGTCACGAAAAGTGTCGTGTCGAAAGTGATATTAATTCGCCGCTTGCAACCGTTCCCGTTAAGATATTGCAATTGTATCGATCCATGTCCGAACCATTTAATAAAATAAGAAGCCCAAAAAACTTTTCCTCTGACGTATAGAAATATTTAAAAAATGTCTTTACGAGTATACCTTGTCTACGGTCATTAACAAGCGTAGGTTTCTCTTTTGATTAATATTGTGAATCCAACATTTTTTCTTGGCTGGTTCTCCTTTTCCATACTGGAAATTAAGCTTCTGACGAAGAACTGCTTAATGCTCATATCTACACAAGACAACGTAACACTTTCAAATGCTAAAAATAAATAATATTTCCGTACCAGACGCCACGCGACTCTTCGCCCCAGTGTGCGGACATCGGCTGAATGACGCTTGCCTGGCAAGGCTACCTTTCGCTACGCTTCGCCTACTAGTAATTCAAAAAATTGGGAAAGCAAGATCAATGGCAAAATGAAAATTTGTATTTGAAAGAGTCCTAAATGAAAACGTCGTAAAAGATTTAAGGAGGGTCGAAGCATCGCTATAATAGATGTCAATATCAATGACCCAAACAGTAAAATCTAAACAAAATTGCAACAAGACTTACATTCCAAAAATGTCCAAGTTATGAAAATTCCAAGAAGTTATTTTGAAGAAAATAATCATCCCCAACATCGAGCACAAACAATAATTATGTGGATATACAAATATCCTGACAAATATCGTAACGAAAATTGATTATATTTACTTGTATTACTTAAAAACAAAGTAGACCAGGAGGACAATGTTGCAATTATTTTATGTACCCACTTAGTTGATTACTGTCCTTAAGGAAATTCTTGCATTTCATTAATTGCTTAATTGTATATAATTTTAGTATCTAACCTCGTACCTAACTACCTGAAAAGCTTTCATTCACTTTAAATTGAATACGAATTTCAAAAATTTGTAGGCATCGTTGGGTTAAGATACTCTCCATTACGTCATAATGTTATATGCACCAATTTGGTTTATTACGTGACGGTTTCAGTTTGATACCCCTAATTAGTAAATGAGATCTCAGACACATGATGTAACGTAACCTTGTAAGAGAATGGGAACACGTCATCAGTGCGCTCTGCACTATGTAAATAAAGGACAAAGTAATATATTCTAGCCCGCATCCTAGTTCGAAAACAAAAATAAAGGTATTATTAAGCTCGGTTTCTAAGCGATTAAATCTAAACGTTTTAATCAATTAATAGTTAATTAATGTGAGCGGAAGCGCATTCAAAATTAAAACAAGTAAATTTACTTGTACCTACATAACGGATTGACAAGACATTTTTCTTAGTTCCACATCATGTGCGAGATAGTGTGCGGTATAATGAAAAACAAGGATGATGAAAGAAACGTTTTAGGGGAATTTTTCGAAAGAAAAAGAAAAAAATTCCCCTGAAAATCGTATGCGATTCTTCGTATCTTGTTTGTAATGTTTTGAGTTCGTGTTTAAGTAGTTGCTGGTGTATGTGGCCCAGCAAAGATAATACTACACTTTTGGGCCCAGTTAGA